TACCCAAAAAAAAAAAAAAAAAAAAAAAAAGAAAATACTTTCCTGATCTTGGAGTAAATAGAAACTCTCATATAGGCCTTTTTCTGTAAGAAGGCTTTAGAAGTCATCTTTGAAAGCCCAACCTATAGTCTACTTCTTCATCCCTTTCCATAATTCTCAAAATATTTAATACCCTGAAGTAAGTGCCTCTGTGCTTGAAAGAGTGGAATAAATTCTATTTTCTGATCTCAAACCTGAACAATCCAGTGGCACAGTTAGAACATGCCATCCACTGAAAAATATATGCCACTTGGATGAGGGAAGCTGAGGGCCTCCTGAAGGCTTTCGTCATTGGAATTTTGCTACTGTAAACATTAAGTAGAAAAGGAGGCAAAAATCATTTGTGTCATGTTTGTGATGAAGGCAACATGGATCTGGGGGCACAGAGAGCAGAATTCTGGCTAGTGTTTATTGAGCAGAGTATTTACCAGGCTCTAATGTTTTGGTCACTGCCGAGATGTTCAGGGAGGTGGGATGGAACTAATTAATCAGATTGGCTGTAACTCCTTGGATGCTCCCACGAAGACATGTTCCTGCATGTGCTCCATGCCAAGCAACTCTGGCTCCTATCTCCACTCCTCTGGATGCTGATGGTGTGGAAACAGATGCCTGAGAAGCAGATCATCAGCCACCCCCCACCCCCACCACTGCCCTGAAAGCCAGGCTACTACATCAGCATAGGCTCTTTGGCAGTCTTTGAAGATGGTGAGTGTAAAATTTTCCTAATGTCCTGTCACCTCTCGGTGAATTGATAAAGTGGACATGTCCCACTGAGGACCAGACCTGGGACTACTAGGGACATTGAAGAAGACTCAGACATCGCAGGAAACTCTCCTTGAAACAGAGCATATGCCTTTCTCTGCAGTCATTACTGCAAACAGTAGCTGATAGGAAAAAGACTCCCAAGAGGCCCCGAGGAGCTTCCTGAATGGATGGGTCACAGAAATGAATATTAAATGGTTGGTGACTCACAGACCAACCGGGAAATAGTCACAGCAGCAGTCCTGCTTGTCCCGAAGAATGGTGCCACCCTGGGAACCAAGCAGAACTGAGCTCTATAGCACACATGGTTAATGATTCCTGCCACCCGAATCCATGATAACAAGTTGGAAAAGGTGCAGGTGTTATGTAAGTCATTTCTTGATGGATGAGTACTTTTTGCCTCCTTGTATATAGAATGTTAGGAGACAACCACGTAGAAAGAGAACCATGGTAACGAGGTAGAATTATCTGGGACACGTACCTGCATTAGAAAGTCCTCCTCTCAGGGTAATTTTCTCTATGGCTGCCTTCAGATCTCGAGAATTCGTGTGAGTTTTGAGGTTAAACTGGGTAGCAGGATTGTCTCTGAGGAGTTAGAACAAGAAATAAAAATTAGCTGAGAAGTTATTACCTTTGGAGGAAGGCAGAAATCGTGGTTTAAAAAAAGACACAAATAGAAGCTGTTTAAAGCATTAAGCTGTGGTTCATAAATATCCCAGGATGGACAGTGATGGCAAAACAGGAAGACTGAGATCTTCCGCATTGCAAGTAGAGAAGACCGGATGCTGTGGGACTTGGAAGCCATGTGTTCTACTTTTGATGGTGTCATCCCCTGTCAGTGTGATCTGGAGGAGTCACTGAACTTCTCCAGAGTTCAGCTTCCTCATGGAGATAAACACACTGCCCTGATGTCCATATTCTAGTGAACAGGGCTGTTTTCAAGTGGGTTCCTTTCTGCAAAGGTAAGGACCCCACCGACTGAGCACCCACTGTCCCTAGGTTGCTCCACACTCTCCTCTCCAGGGAGGAAATTGCAGCTTTTCACCACTTTCTGGGTCACCCCTGGCACTGCACAGTGGTGCCAGAAAGACTACTCTACCGTTCTCATCCTGTGGCTCTTGGGACTGGGCGAGATGGGTGAAGTCTCAGCCAGAAGGTCCACATCCACTTTCCTGAAGGCTGGACATGGTGAACTGGAGAGCAGTGGGAGTGGATCCCGTGGAGAGGCAGGAGAACCCCTTCTCTGGAGAGAAGTCTCCATAGGTGAGCTGCATAGCGGGTTTGGGAGCTGCCGGGCAGAGGGCGTGGGACACCTTTTGTGACCAGGTAGAGGCAGAGCTGAGTTTACTGGCACACCCGGTGCAGTCACACGGGGACCCTGCGCACAGACAGGGCTACCCGTGCTCGGCTCAATGCTCTGCTGATGCCATCTGGAAATTCGTACTGATTTCTGAGCAAGAGGACCTGCAAATTATGTAGCCAGTCCAGGCTGCAGGTTCTGGAGACCTCAGGAGTGGGGAAGGGGGACTTGTAAAAGCAGCTTTTCCACAAACACTGGAGATAGATCCTCTGGGAAGCCATGTGGACTCTTTTAGGTGGCAACCCCATGGTATTTGTGGATCCTTAGTGAGTCCTTGGGTCCCTGACAGGCAGCATGGTCACCAGCATCTAAGAGAGAGGAGACATACTCTGTCTCCCTCCCGGCCTTACTCCTTCCTTACTTTCTAGTCTTCCTGTTTCAAGATGACCTGAGTTTTGCGCAGAAGGAGAGCTTATCTAAATGTCACGTAAAATAAAACGGGGAGGGCCGGGTACCTTCGGGGAAGATGGGAAATTCATGACAAGTGCAATCTTTTTTATCCTTGTCCCTGTTTTTCCTGGCATGACTATAAAATTCCCCTGCTCAAAAACCACCGGAAGCAGCTGTGGTTGCAGTACAGTGTGTCCTCCAAGAGTTCATGGCTGAGCCCCTCGTGTGACGGTACCAAAAGGCCACAGGACCTTTAGGAGGTGAGGCTTAGCTGAGGTTTTCAGGTCACTGCCAGAGCAACTCTCAATGATGAAGTGGCTCTCGCGGGAGCCCTGAGCTCTTGGAAAGAGTGGGCTGGATCCCTGAATTGCTTTCTGGCTTCCCGTTTGGCAATGTGGCTCCTCTCACATGTGCTCCTGCTGTCAGGTGGTCCTCACAGAAGCTGGACTGAGGCTGGCACCATGACCTTAAACCTCCAGAGCTGTGACCTCAATAAGCCTCTTTTCTTCATAAAGTTAGCCTGTAAAGGCATTTCAGTATAGTAACAACAAATAGACTAATACATTCCCACTGTTAACTTTCTATTTTGGCTTTGGTTGTATCCGTAAGGCCATGCCCTCTGCCTTGTTCTCTCTCCTTTGCCCTCCTTCTTCCCCCACCCCGAATATCCCACATTTTTAGTCACATTCTCACTCCGCCCCATACTCTATATACAGACGAGTCTCATTATTGATAATTATGCACTACAAAGTTACCACAGAACCAAGCCAGGGAACAGCGAACCATTCCCCAGTGAAACCACAGGGCAGGGCTGCTCTGGGACTGTAGTCTCCATGTCATCAGAGATCAAAGCGTGAACTTGTTTTACGAGTAGTTCTCTTTGAAGACACCAAATTTAATTCTAGGTGTGATTCAAAAATACAGCGGATGTTTCAGTTCTTTAAAAATTTATCACAGCTAAAGACCCGTTGCCACTAATTCCTCTCAAAATGTTTCCCCTCTCTTTGAACACACTTATCCCGTTGTTCTCGACACCGTCCGAGGCAGTTCTGAAAGTCTTTCTTGAGCGTCTTTAGTTGCAGTGCTGTGGCTGCCTCGATGTCCCGAATCCACTTAAGACACTTACTTTTCGCAGTCACCGTGACTTTGGGGAAGAGCCGGAAGCCTCATGGCGTCTGGTCTGGTGAATAGGGTGGATGAGGACACCAGTATTGTTTTACAAGCCTGTCTTCCTGTTGGATGGCACTTAGCAGAACCAGTCACCGTACTTTTTATCACACCTTGTAAAGACACACAGGAGGACTTCCGACAGCACTTCGGAAGGTGGCGAGGATGATTGGGTAAGTGCGCTCAAAGCAAGGGCGAAGTTTTCATTTTTTTTTTCTTTTCTTCTTTTTGAGACAGGGCCTCCCTATGTAGTTCCGGTTGGCCTCCAACCTGCAGTAGTTCTCCTGCATCAGCCTCCTGGGTGCTGGAATCACAGGTGTGCACCATCATTCCCTACTACAAGGGAAAGTACTGTGAAGAGGATTAGTGGCAATGTAATAAATTTTAAAAAATGTAGTCACCATATATATATATATATTTTTTTTTTCTTTCTTTCTTTCTTTTCTTTGGTACCGGGGATCGAATCTGGGTCCTTGTGCTTGTGAGGCAGGCATTGGAACCACTGAACTAAATCCCCGGCCCTTGATCAACTCTTGTATATGACTTTAAGCATTAATTATATGAAGTATTCCCTTATAGTAAAATATTAGCTGATAAGTTTTTAACAGCTTTCTTCACTTTGGTGATGTTGTGGGTTTTAGACTCACAAATATCCCAACCATGCGGTTTTTTTGTTTGTTTTATTAATCAGTGGTCATCTCATGAATGCATACGTTTAGCCTCTTTTCTACTTTTTTCCCAGAGCTTTATCACACGTGCTAGGTGCTACGTTAGCGCTTTACGGATCAAGTTTAAACTTGTTCTCCTTCTTCCAAATGAACAGATTATCGATTCATTAACATTGAATTCACAAGCGAAGGCGCTGAAACTCGGCCGAAAAGCAGCTCATCTGACACAGAGCTACGGCAGGGCCTTCTCTCAGGCAGAACCCGAGACAGAAGTTCCGCCCTGACTTGGGGGCCACTTAAAACAGTGCAACCACCCAAGCAAAGGCCCCAAATGCAACAACTGTAACACTGTGCGCCGTGGAACGGACCCTTGGAGAGAAAGCGCGGGGAGAGCCAGGCAGAATGAGCGCAGCTGCGGCGGGGCACAAGTGTTTTCCCCACCGTGGATTTGCGCGTGCGTCAAGTGGCAAGTTGTGGGTTACAAATAAACTTGAATTTTAGTGAGTAGGCCACTGGCGAATAATTGAATGCACAAAGCCTGAGGATCCACTGCACCCTAGTCCAGAGAGGGTGCTCCTCTTGGCTTCTAACCCTTAGTGCCTAGCTGTCCGGCGGTAACCGGAGAGTGGGGAATACTCAGTTCACGAAAGGAAGGCATCTCAGACGTCCCTCCTCTCTCAGCTCAGCCCCAGCGAAGCTGCCACCGTACCTGCAGCCTCACCCGCTCACCTTGTCCCTGGTACATCACAGATGGAGACAAATCCCTCCTCAGCAGCATACAGCTGGGCTATTCATATACCTATCGAATAGGTGCTTTTAATTTTACTTGATGTCATTCCTTCTTTAAACATTCCCTCCCTTACTAGATTGTGAGGTGTAAAGAACAGAAGAACCCCTATCTGTCTGTCTGTCTGTCTATCTATCTATCATCTATGTATTTTTAATAGATTGAAAACTTGGATCCAGGGACCTCTGAAATGCTTTCCAGTTGTTAAATTGATGGTGACTATGATTAGAGGAAAAGGCACGGAACTCATCCACCAAGGGTCTAATGGGCAAATGCAGCCAAATCACTTAGAAGAATTTCACACCAGTGTCCCCTGCAAATGGCATTGTGCTCAGTTCATGGCCAACGTTAATCCATCCTTGTGACACTGGCTGTATATCATGAGAGTGAATGCTAGATTGTTAATCTATAGATCATGGCAGCTCTCGGGACCACAGCACATAGGGACGTTTGCCCCTTTCCAGGGTGTGTACGCGGCAGCCTGCCACGCTAGCCTCATTACTTTTTAGACATGTTGTGGTTCGGGAATGGTTCAGCCTCTGGCAGTTCATGTGCTCGAAGCTCGGTCTCTGGTGTGCCAGCCTTGACGTGGTGGAAACTTTTAGAGGTGAAATCTCGTGGAAGGGTATTTGGTCTTGTGGTCACTGTCCTCCAAAAGCTTTAATGCAGGTCTTGTGGGCCTGGACTGGCTCTTAAAAATGGCTTTTTGTGGCTTGTTTTGAGGATGCCTGGCACCTCCTTTGCAACCTTCTGCACGCACCTCACATGCACTTTTGCTCCTCTCACATGGCTGCAGAGCTGAGCAGAGTGGTGCCATGCCCTTCAGCTCCCACTGTCAGCTACGTAAAACTCTTTTCTTCGCAAAGTACCCAGCCTCAGGTATTTTCCTCTAGCAACTGAGACTGGAATAAGACAGAAACTGTTTTAAAAGTTCAAGGAGGTATACCACTGTTTTTCTAATGTAAGCAGTCTTTGAGTTTGTAATTTCCTTGCAAGTTCTTATGAAAGGAAAACACAGTTTTTCCCTCAACAGTATCAAAGGTGTCCTTTAAAAAGCAGAGAAGCAAATAAACAAAAAGGTTTATAGCTGAAGGAAAAAATATAAAATTGGTCTATGTTTGGAAAAGAGCTGGGACTAACAAAGAGAAGGTACAGAGATCCGGATGCTGGCTGTGTACAGAGAAGGGTGGTTGGTGTGGTAGGAAATGGGCAC